TTAAAAATTAATTTATTCATTTGAGAGAGAGAGAGAGCACATACATGTGCCAGCAGGAGGAGGGGCAGACAGAAAGAATCTCAAGCAGACTCGCCACTGAGTGCGGAGCTGGATGCTGGGCTTGATCTCATGACCCTGAGATCATGACCTTAGCCGAAATCAAGAGTCAGATGGTTAACTGACTGGGCCACCCAGGTGCCCCTGTATGATTTTTCAAATACACAATTATTTTTAATATTGAATGAACTTTTTCTCAAAATAATACCCATAATTGTGACAAACAACCACACTGAAGATGTTAATAATGAGAACTGTGTGTGGGGGGGGGCGGGTATATAGGAACTCTATCATCATTGTAATTTTTCTGTAAATCTAAACCTATTCTAAAACGAAAAATTTATTTTTATTTAAAAAAACACCCACAAGATTCTGATGTGAACCTCTAGCCCCATCCTTACCCTCAAACTCAACTACATCTGAGAATTAGTGATCCATATCCTTGTAAAATAGTGGTCAATATCTCTGGTATAGTTCTGGAGCACTTTCCCCTTGAAGTGACAATATTCATGGGCTAGCTTTTAAGTGAGACCGAGCATCAATTTCTGGTTCTACCACAATCTAGCTGCATGACTTGACTTGGTTAACTAATCTTTCTGAATCTTGTTGTCTAATAATTAAATGACGATAATAATACTTGAGGGTTAAATAAGCTAATATATGTAAAGCAGGTAGCACAGTGCCTACCACATAATAAATAGTTGTTAATATTGTCATTCGTACTGTCTCATCTGGAAATTAAAAATAGAGTTAACTCTATCATTATCTTATTCAAATTATCTGATCTCGTACATGTGCATATCATGGCTAGCTTTGCTAAATCAAGATACAAAGAATCCCACCCCTCTCTTAGCTAAGACAGTGAAAAAGGACTCCAAGGATTCTGCTATCAGACAAGCCCGAGAGAAGCCTGGGGGTGGCCAGAAAACCCTTTACCTCCATTCAAGTTATTTAGCATCCTGGTATTTTTCTCATCTATAAAAATCATGACAAAATAATCGCTGCCCCAGTCCCCCCAGTATTTTGGTGAAGATCACATGAAACAACGTTTGAGCCTGTAAAATTGCCTTAAAATTTTGCGGTCATTAATATACTTAATATCGACTACATCTAATACTCATCACTTGTTATTCAAGGATCTTTATCTTTTCCAATTGATCATTTCTTTCTGTTTCTTTCTCCTCACTAATTACAAACAATGGGCTTAGCAATTTTTGATAGAATTTTGTTGGAGAATCACTGCAGGCTTATAATTCTAGGACTAAATTTTATAATAAATGATCTCCTTTTAAGAAAGCTGTGCAAATTTTGCTGAGCTTTGGTTTTATAGCACCTCCTTTTATTGCAATGTCCCTCACTACCACCACGTGTGTGACTATTCTCATTTTGGGGATATGTAATTGAACAAAATTAGGTGCCTGCAATTCTCTTGAATGATTCAGTTATTCAGTTCAGAAGTTATAATCCACTTCGACTTACGTTCCTCTTACTTAAAGCAGGTTTGTTTTTTTCATGTGTGATGCACAGAAAGAGCACGCCTGTGGGGTAAGATAGACTTGAATTTCCAACCAGCTTGGTTCACAAATAACTGAAAATGAAGAACACAACGTGCACATTGTAGTAGGGATGGCATTGAGATTAACGATTATTTTGGTGATAGAAATAGATGACATTTATTGAATCCATACTTTTTAAGTTATGTATATACATTATCTAGGTAAACATGGAAGTCAGAAGTAGTACTCCAGTGAGGTTATCTGCTATCCATTTGTCAAAATTCCAATTTTGAGAGCTTCCTCTCCTTGCAGTCTCTTTTGTCTTATCTTCTCTCTCACTCATCTTTTCTCCTTTTCCTTCTCCTGTCTTGGAAATCTATAGTTCTAAATCCTACCTCCACCCCAGGTTTTTCTTTCCTGGAAAACTGAAAAATTCTTAGTTTTCTCTCAGGGTTTCTCAAACTTCTGTTCAAATAGCAACTCTTCCTGTTAAGATTTAGGCCCCCACTGACATTTATCTGAGTTTCACTGTAGTTACTTATTTTTAAAATTATATTTAAATTTTGTTGTAGAGACCTTTACTAAACACTGAGAGATATAAAATTTTAGTGAGGTCATGATAAGCAGAGCCCTTATAATAAGCTACATAAATATACAAAAATAGAAAGTTGTGCTTTTCTTTATCTAAAAGAAAAGGGTAGAATGGTTTTAAAGAAAGGTTCTCAAGAGGACTGGAAAAAAGCATAAATCCCTCACAACCTCTTACAACAGATGATTGCTTTGAATTACTTAAACAGGCTTGGTACTTAAAAGCCCAATCTATGTTACATATTTTAACTTCTGCTGAGATTAAGTGTATATGATGTCAGAGGAAATTTGATACATGTAAGGTCTACAGGATTGAGCCACAAATGTCAGTAATATATGCACAATGATTTGCATCATGATAAACCTATGTCCCATTGGGCTTTGTCTTCTGTAATCACTCTAAAGAAGAGAAATCATTTTTGTTCAGGAATAAGGCACTCATTTCTATGGCATTCTAACTTTCCTTTCAACCTTACTGTATAATCAATGTATGCTGACATGCAAAATCTTTGTTAAAAAAAAATCTTCTTTCTTCTTACTAGTTAAAAAAAGCAGCATTTGTTTCATGCTTGCGATCTTTTTCCTTATAATACTAAATTCAAGATAGCTTTCTTTATAAAGAAATGCACTTGGAATACATAGACCTCTGTCCTTAGGGATGTGAAAAAGGGGAAACACATACACCCATACCATGGGGTACGCTGTAAATATTTAATCCTGTAAATCTTCCCTTTGTACATATAGTCATACTCTTCTGATATAGAGGAATATTCACAATTGAACTGCGACTAGATGCAGAGGTTATCTGTTGTGTAACTGATTCATATAAAAATTTGTTTCAATCTGCATAAAACTGTCTATCTCATGTAAGAAAAAAATGCACATTATTTTCCAGAAGATTAAATTCTCATAATGAACAACACTGGCCTCTGTTGGTAACCAAGGTCACGATGAACAGACAATCCACCTTTTCTAGATTGCTGAAGGTGCTGCCTTTATCCAGGTAGATCTACACTCTCTTGGGATCGTTACTGTTCATTTGTTGATAAGGGAGCCATAAATTTATGAGGGCTCCAAGTATGAAAATCTCTAGCTCTAGCTATGGACTTAAACGGACCCAAAGTGTAGTGCTGGAACTTGCCATTTTTTCTGATCAAATACATTTAAACATTTCTGCTTCAATACTGTCATTTTAAAATGATCTTTTCTTTCAACAACACACTTGAGAGTAAGAAGAGAGTTGATGAATTTCAACTAAATTTTTAAAAGTAATAACTGTGTACAGAATACAAACACATATTCCTTTAAGTTTATTTGCTCTAGTTTCCAGTACGCATCATCTGATTCATAAAATACAACTGAAATTACTTGAATACATAGGAAAGCAACCTTGATTTTCATAGAACTGTATATCTTCTACCCCCAAAATACTGCGTATCCATGTGAAGGCTACTGCCCAGAATTTTATGCAAATTTTTTGGATTTGTTCATCAATAATTCTGCAAAGAAAACCAAAATAATATTTGTATTTTAATAATGTTGGGATTATTTTCTTTCACCGAGCAAATATAGAATGACTTTGCTAATGTATGCTAAAAAACAACAAACTAGAAGGTGTCACATTTATCCCAATTGATTGAACAAGCTAACCCACTGTCAGTACAAGACAAGCTTCCTGTTATTGCCTCTGATGGGTCTTAGCCTACTCAGTGGGAACATTCTCTAGAACACATGGGCCAGTCTTTTTAATGTCGCCCGGCAGTCAACACTACTCAAGATCTTTAAGTTCTTGGCTCCCAGAAGTTCCCATCAAAGGATCTGGAACACACTTAAAAGATAAACAATTGAGGCCACCATAGGCTAAAATACTTGCCTACATTATCAGAGGAGTGAAGCAACAGAGGTATATAAAGACTTACTCTTACGTGCATCCAAAGGGTCTTGGATTATTGTATAGTAAAGGATACCACAGGAGGAAATGTCAATACCGAAGGGACAGAAAATAACTCGTTGATATGGAATTTAACTTGGGGAGTTAAAGTTTATTCACATAAAGATATGAAGCGTGTTATCAAAACCAGTAAAGGAGAATGCAATCCATTGTCATCGAAAGCTCACATCACTGGCGTATAGGTCTATGTAGAAATAGAAAAATGACTTAGTCACTCCTGACCTCAAACATATTTGAAATAGTGACCATGAATATCTCATGAGTCAATGAATATTTTATAAAATATTGACATTTCACATGGAGTAATTAGTAGCTGTTGCTTCTTCTTTTCCTCCCTGTCTCCCTTTTTTTCCTACCTTCTTCTTCCTTTTTCTCCCCCAAGTACATTTAAAGCAGGAAGTTCCAGGGGAAATCACTTTTACTACCTTTTTGAGAATCATACACATCAAGCTGTATAAAACATCCTAACCTCTGCCTGCAAATATAGACACCATTTTAGGGAAGAATAAATACATCTTGTACACAAGTTGCCTTTCTGGAATCCTCTCTTTTTCAATCCCCAAATACCTTTCTTGTCAAGATAGTGTAGCAGTGTTTGGAAAGCGTTAGCACACCAACAGATGCTCAGAATCAAATGACTTAATAGGCATAAACTTTTTTTCAAATAATTGCAAAGCTTTGGGTTAGCCTTTTGCATACCTTGCATAGTTAATTACCTAGGCCTTAATGTTTACATGTAATGAGAGTATCTACAGCTATAAACTACATAATTTATAATTGATGTAAATGGGTGTTATTATGTCAATTAGGCAGCTGTGTCCTCCACCTCTTGGTAAACAGCTTTGAGTGATAAACTGAGTTTGCAGAGAGGTACCTTCTTTTCTTCATAACAGATAAAAATAAATTACCTAGGTAGACCAGGCTGTCCAATTGTTCTCTGGTGAGCTGGATGGGAAATCCAGACCCTTTCTTTTGACCTGTTGACTGCAGCAAATGGTCAATTTCATCACGGAGTACTGCCATAGCTTCCGGGTGCTGTAGGAGGTAATACATCGCCCAGAACGTAGCTGGAATAGTGTTTGTCACAGAAGCCCAGAGAAAGCCTAAATGATGTGCTGGGAGAAAATAAGTGAAAAGGAAGATTAATAGCGTTTATTACACTGATTAGATTTGCAGTGTGCTAATTAAAAGATGTTAGGACACAGACCCAGCCAAGGATCAGTGCATGCTAATGAGGACCAATAGGCTTCTGAAGTCTAATTTTCTGCTTAATGAGAATAGTTTAAAATGTAATGTGCGCGTGGGGGGTGGGAAGGTGGGGGACGAGATAAGAGGAGTAAATGCAGCTTAGTTATACTCTTTCTCATTATCCCCATTAAGTATCTTGTTTTACCACCTCAGCAAAAAAAAAAAGAAAAAGAAAAAAGAAAAAAAAGAAAAAATCAATTATCACAGAGGGTTGTTTCAGAGTAAAACATTTTATCACTAGCCAATTAGAAAGAGCATAAAAATTTTCAAGGTCACCATTTTGTCTTTTTATTTCAAAGGTCTATTGTAAATTATTTTATTTTAGACAAGTAATCATTCAGAAGTTTCTTACCTCCTATTTCAAAGTCCTCAAGCGTATAGTATTTCTCCAGGATATCTTGCCTCATTTGAACAACTTCTGACCATCCCTGTGTCTTAGCTAAGTGTTCTGAGGTCAAGCGTTTTATAAGTTTCTTTCTAATAGATTTGACATTTCCTAGAAGCTCTATGGGTATGTCTGATATTAAATATGGGAATTTGTCATCAAATTTTAAGAAATCATCTCTTAGCTCAGTAATAAATGTTTTCCTATTGTCAGCAAGAGATTTTCCATATATGGTTGTGAACGTGACCTCAAATATTACTGAGCTGCAGAATGTCAACAGGTATGCCGTGTCCCAATTTGTGGTTTTTAATAACTGGAGCTCAAACACTTGTTTTAAATTCTGCATCATGTTTTCTGTGAGTATATCCAAGGACTTCCCTTGTAAAAGATGATAGCAGCCATGAAGGTCATTGTTCAGGTCATCATTGGTTGCCAACTTTTCGATGGAAAATACTTTCCTTAATAGTTTATTAGTGAATATTTGAAAGCTTAATTTGTGACTTTTCATTACGAACTGGTACTGAAAAGGGTCCAGGATAAATGTTATATACTTTCCTAAAAGAAATAAATGAGAATATGAGCTCAGTTGGGAGCAAAACAAACAAATACCTGAAATTTGAAAAGATTTTAATCAAAATTATAGAGACCTTAATAACTAACACCCAGAAAGGTGCAAAGTTTAATAAATATCCATTTTGTTCAAAGATTCCCCACGTTTCCTTTAAAAATGGAAGATAGTGGGAGAAACTCTAATATTCTTAAGTTCTGAAAGACCTTTAAAAAGATACTCTTTTATTTTAATTAAATACCCAAATATTTAAACTACCCTTGAAACATCCTCAGAATCCCTTGACTTAAACATTTCTCATATTTCCCTAATAATACAAACAGAATACAAACATCAAACAATCAAATTATTATTTACACTACATGGAGACCCATTTCATACTTGATATCATCTTAGCTTTGGCTGGATAAGATAATTTTAACTCAGACAAAGGAAGATATGGTATGAAGCAGATACTCACAAATTAATGTTTAATGTGACAAATACCAAATCACAACTGCCAGCATTTTCTTGTTTATAGATGAGAAAATAGTGGTTCATGGAGATTTGGTAACATGTCCAAGGTTACCTACTGATTTGTGACTAAAACAGGATTCCAAACGAGAACCTGTCCATTCATGCATTCATCCCTACATTCTTCACTTACTGAGATTCAGATACTTGTTTGGATCTCTTTCCTCTTAAGATAAAAAGATGTGAAGAAATCATTCTAGCAGAGGTGTGAACACAAGGTAAGGGAAGCAGAAAGTGAAATCCACTTTGGTCTGCTGGGAGTTACCTATCAGCAAGAGTTCTTTGAGGTGGTGACATTTGGTCTTTTCATAGATCAGTGTTGTCCAAACTTACCCAACTAAAAGACGTAGGGTACTGGTTAAAAATACAGATTTCTGCCTGATTCTGATTCAGAAGGTTGAGATGTGGGACCTATGAGTCTTTATTTTTGATAGGGGCCTGAAGTGATTCAAGGCAGCATAGTGAGGAACGCGGTCCTACTTTGGTAGGGCTCTCAAAACTGTCGGAACCTTGAAGAGTTCCCAGCTCTACCCTGCTCCCCCTGAGAGCCTGGGCAAGAAGACACTCCCCATGCACTGTTCTTTTCCTCACACAGGGCTGATTTCTTCTCACTAGAGTGCTATTTTAAGACGCCTAAATAGAAGTATTATGCAAATAGTATTTAATAATGGCATTTAATAAATCTTTCTTTCCCAAGAACACACATGAAGTTTAGATGATCCTACAAAGTGTAATGCCTATTTATTGCCTTCTAGAAAACAAGAGACATTAAAGTTTGTAGGATCATTCACACTTTCACTTTTTATTCCTCTGGTGTGTGTGCGTGTACGTGAGTGTACTTTCTTAGACCAACAACGTCTCATTTGTTATTTATTGGTAATTCAAACAGCATCACAGAAATTAAATTCAATGTGGTACAGGATTTAGAATAAAGTTTTGAATAATTTTCAACCTAATTCTTGAAACAGGATAAATGTGTTTTTGTTTTACAATTTTAAAACATCATTTAAGCTTTTAATATACATTCATATACATGTGCTAAGATTTTTTTTCTAAAAATAAATCATATGTCTTGAATTTTATTCACCATATTTCTCCTTGATTTATTTAATAAGGTGGGCCAATCTAGGAATGAGGGTAAAGCTAGAAGTGGCTATTCATTCTGGTCAGATCCCAAAGCTGCATTAATAAAGTAAACTGGATGTTTCCCCCTTAGTGAGAGCAAAAAGGACTCAACTGGATTGGAGCATATTTTATGACACCTGCTTTACCATAGCATCTTAATTAAATAAAATTGCCAGCATCTGCCTGACAAATAATTGAAAAAAAGAATGAATTCTCTCATTTTGCAAAAGATATAATTTTAGGCAAAGCTATGTATTTTCACAGGTGGTGATTCATACTTTCCTCCTTTCACCAAATGAGAAGATTTTGCTAAATATCTTTAGGGTTATTTTAAATTAGCCACTAAAATTCAGAGAATGTATAAAAGTTTCAGTTTGTAAAACATGCAATTTTTAGGGAATATTTTGAATTTTTCCTACTAATTTTCTACATTCATTAAAATCTAAGTGGAAGGATAAAACTATATTCAGCCAAGACAGCATGAGCTACTGGCCACTGGCCTACTGAAATAGAGGCTGTGTGAATGTGAGAGTTTTTGTCTACAATTCATCACAAATACACATACATTCCCCTCTCTCTCTCCCCCTTGGGGGTAAGGATATGGGAAGAAACTATGAGATTCACTTCAATTAAAAGAAATAAAACCTAAATGTGGAAAAACTGGTTCCAGTTAGCAGCCAATTATTAATAGTTTTTTTTTAATGAGCAGTTATTACAGGTTTTTTTAAAAAAATCATTACTGATTAGTTAAAATCAATTTATTTGTAGATAAAATTCTCACTCTTCAAGGCTCTTTATACTCCAGGATCTGTATTTTCTCCTTCTCATTCTTTTTTTAATTTCTTCAACCTCAAGGCATTGTGTTTTATTAACTATCTTTCTGAGTAAGATGTGGATTGCTTTAAAATAGACATTTTGATTTTCTGGGTTTTACTTTTCAAGTGGGTTTGGAAGTACTAATAACCCTGGAGATGTTAGTTGGCTTTCCAACTTTTAATCTTCAGTATAAACAATTTAAGCTAAGTTTTCCAAAATTAATATTAATTTAAACCATCTGTCCACCATCTGCTAATGTGAGATGCAAAATCAGAGTTTCTTTGTAATCTTTAATCAGACAGTTAGGAAAACACATATACATTCATAAAATGAATTTAAATTTCTTAACAAAGGAAATCTGAAAAGTTATTCTGAAGGCCATGTATTCTTGGAGTGAAATTAACTTTTGCTCCAGTGTGATTTTATGTAAATGAATACCAAGTGTCGATAGGCAAGTTGCCTAGTATACCAAGATCACAAGGTAGAAACAATATCCATTGTCATGTTTTCAAGAGAGAAAAGAATGCTGTGAGTAGTTGATATGAAATATTGATTTAAAGAATATCGGAGTTTGTATTTGTCTAAAATAGAAATGTCAAAATGGGGCTCACTTCTGCAAAAAAATATAAATGTATATAATACGTAATATATATAATATATAACATGTAACATATATAATCATCTTTTTGGGCAGTAAATTTAAAATGGGGTCAAAATTTTTAATGTCTTCTTTGCCAATAATCTTATTCTCTTCCCTTTTCAGAGCTGACTGGGTCTTAAGATATTAACTCTAGCATTCCTGTATAACCTGCATTGATCCTTTACTAACTCAGCAGCCTTTTTACTTCTTTCCAAATTACTTCTTTTAGGAAGGTGGAGCTACATGATGCAAAGTACATCAGTAAATGTAAAAAAAAAAAACAAAACTAAATCATTCACCCTGATGTCTTCTATACAAAAAGTTTGACATCTGGATCATTATAAATTGAATTTTGATGTTTTCATCTCAGATATTTGGTGCTTTACAGAGGCAACATCCATGGGAATTCAGAACAACTATTTGAGTACTTAGATTTAGAAATGCCTGTCAGCAAATAAGAGATAAATTTGGATTTTAAAGAGATTTTCCATAATTATAAGCTTTCCATTTCCACGCTTAGTTTGTTCTTCAATAGAATTTTTTAGAAGGTCAAGCTGAAAATATTCGTTGGAAAGCGGAATGTGAACCAACTTTTTATTTTATGAGGATGAACACATTACATACTCCCCCTCTTATTAGGGAGATTTCACTAGCTGTTGACAATGATGTAGAGTGGTGCTTCGCTGGCATGACATCTAGGGAAAACGACTCTGCTCCACCACCACACAAAACCAATTAGAGAACTATTTTCTGCGACAGGTCACGAATTTACGTGGTTTCTCATGAAAAGATGTACCTTTTAATTTCTTTATTAAGATGACATCCGTGTCCCTTGAGACTTTTGGGGATGCTAATCATTTGCTCATCATGCAAGAACATACACTAACGGAAATCACATTACGGGACAAGGGTGGAAGACTCTGGTCCCTTGTTTCACATTTCCAAAGGTGCTATTTTGCAAGCTGATCATTAGAACCACATACATTAACAGGATAACTTGACAGGAATCTATTCAAACTCTAGTAAGAAGCCAAAGGGAGGTGGTAGTACATATTCAACACCTGCTTGTGTACTGTTGAGTTCAAAAACATGGCCATGGTCAAATTATTTGGACGTCAGAAATTCAGCAAGCTTCTTGGTGTCTAAGATTAAGATATCAAGTATCAGCAGAAATTGGTTGTTTTTGAGCAGTGAATAAAATTATTCAACTTGCCACAAGTTTTTCCTTAATCAACTTAGATTATTTTTGTATGACGTATTAAAAGGGAAAACTGAAAAGTTTGCTAATTTGTCATATCTATTCATAAAATTTAAATTTTTTTAAGTAAGAGTGACTTTCTTTTTTTTAAAGTGAATAATAGAGTTTTGTTATTATGAAGCCAAAAGCTCACTTAGAATATAAACACCAGCTATGGCCTTTATTTGTATTATAGTAAGTATTTCATCAGCTCTAAGGTATTGGGAATATCCTCATCAAATATTTATTGTGAATCAATCAGTGCTGAGCTCTGGTCTAAATTTTGGCAATAGAGGAACTGAAGAATAATGAAGGGAAATAGACAAATGAATTAGCAATAAATTCACAATTTATTAAATGCCATTACAGAGTGATACTGAGAGTAATGGGAGCCTGGAGAAGAGGCGTCCAACACAACCAGGGAGAAGAGATGGTCAGTGAAGCTTTTGGAAGGAAGTGATATGTGACTATGGCCTCAAAAGATGAATCCATGTCAGTCATCTTTTCAGGAGGACTCACAAAGAGAAGAACAGCACTCAGGCAGAAAAAACAGCAAGAGGAAACACAGGCACAAAAGGGCATCGTGTGTGAGGAGGAAATTTCAAACAATTTGGTGCATTAATAGTGCATTAAGGCAAAAAAAATAAAAATAAAAATAAAAATAGTGCATTAAGGCAAGCTGTAGAAAGAGATGAGGCCAGAGAGGTAGGAGGCGCCCAGATCTTGGGAAGCCTTGTGGGGATTACACTACAATTGCTCTAAGATGCATGATTTTTTTTCCATTTCAATTTTTCTGAAATCAGAGTATTGGGAGAGACTTGCAGGCAAAGGAGTAAGTTGTGAGGAAATGGATATTGCCTGTTCATTTTCTGAATACTCAGCCATGCTGACAATGTCATCCCGTTGGATCATTGTTTTTTCTCCCCATTACATTAAAATGGCAGCACTGAAATGAAGTTGCTCTGTGTACAAAACGTTGCTTCTGATACTCAACAAAATAATTACAGTAAGAAGAAACCACCTAAATTCTTTAGGAATAGAACAGAAAATTCCAAGCCTGGTTAGAGAAAGATGAAAAGGGTTGAGCAAAGAAAGGGGCATAAGTAAAGATGACCTAGATAAGGAATACTCAGAGTCAGTGAAAGAACCAGAAGGTGCAGTATCAATAGAGTGAAGGAATAGGGTGTTTTAAGGAGGAATGAGGGATCTGCATTGTCAGACCAAGTAGAGAGGTCTAGTCAGTGAAGGTCCATTAATGGCCTCAGCAAGGCAGAAAGAAGTATGGGCAGCAAATGTAGGAATCTCTCTTGAAATACTGGGATGCAAAAGATAAAAAAAAAAGAAATGAAAGGTAACTAGAAGGAGAATATAGGAGAAGCATGGTTTTAAGCTATAGGTAAGGACCCAAGAGAGAGAAAAAAAATGAAGATATATGTGTGGGAGGAATAAATAAACACCAGCCCTGTGGAGGCAGGAAGTAAGGGTGATGGGGACAGGTATTGGATTTTCTTAAACGTTCTTTGAAATTAGAGAAAAGGTAGTGAGGAAAGTTGTGAGACACAGGGATATCTGGTAGATATGCGAGGATCTGAGTGAGATGATACCTGATGCCTTCATTTTTCTTGGGAAGGAAAGGAAGGAGAGTGAACTCTGTTGCCAGAGCCCAGTGAGAAATGGGGACCTGGAACATAGCCTTTCCTGCCCTCCCACCAGCATGCCCAGGCAGAAGTCAGAGGACAAAGAAGTGAGGATAATCTAGTCTGTACAGATCAGACTTCTGGGACATACGACATACAAAAGTGAAGAAATGGAATAGCTAGCCCAGTGATAAGCTGATGTGGAAGACCGTGTGCTAAGATGGCCACAGTAAATTCTTTCTATCTCTACCTGTGCTCCTTTGCAATGGGACTCTGCCATTCTCCCAGGAAGTGGTGGAGTGTATTTTCCTACCCTTGAGTTGGGGCTGGCCTGTGACCGCTCTAATAAAATGTGGTATAAATGAGGTTTTGTAATATCTCAGCCTAGGCCTCAGGGGGCTTCTCACCCACCTGAAACACTAGCTGCCATGTAAGGACATCTTGAGAATGAAACATCATGTGTACAAGGAGGCCCAGCCAGGCATGTATGTGATGAGGCCGTCTTGGAACATCCAGTCCCAGTTAAGCAGTCAGATGACTCAAGCCACAAAAGTGACTCAGGTCAGACTGGTTGCTTGAAGGCATTACATCTAGGGGAGGTTTGTTCTGCAGGAATAGATAGCCGATACAGCTGGAAAACATGGGCCTTCAAGGAGGATGAGTAAAGAACATCCCAACTCTTCCTCTCAGCCCTATGATGTTGGGATGTTTAGTGATCTTGTTGCCGTTTTCTTTTTTCTTTTGTAAGCATTTTATTGAAGTTAGAAGCATAATACACTTTTTAAAATTAAAAATACATTCTATAGCAGTGGTTGCTAGGGGCTCAGGTTGGGGCAAAAGTGGCATGAATATGTGGAACACAGAGGATTTTTAGGGCAGTTAAACTATTCTCTATGATAGTGAATAATATCCATTGAATGATGGATCCATGACACACATTTGTCAAAACTCGAAGAACTGTACAACACAAAGGTGGACCCTAATGTAAATCACAGACTTTTAATAATATATCAACATTGGCTCATCAGCTGCAACAGAGTATGGGATATAATAAGGAAAATTCTGATCAAAGGAAATAGGATATATGGGAAATCTCAGATCTGATAAATTTTCTTTAAACCTAAGACTGCTCTACAAAATGAAGTCTGTTAATGCGTTCTAGCTTTTATTTCTCTTTTAATCATTTTTAAAATCAGACCAAGCCAAACCAAACCAAAATCACAGGTGATGGCAGGAGAGTAGGGTTCCCTAAGTACCCTCAAGATTTTTATAATTCATTTTTTACTGTGAAAATCACTGTATTCAAAAACATAGTTTTCTTTTGTATTGGTCTACAAACAAAACAATAATATAAATATTCCATATTTTGTCTATAGAAAAATGTAACAACTTAAGGAACAATGGGGAGCTTATGATTTATGGAAGGTACTTATAGAAGTGTTGCTTACCTCCAAGGAGAACAGTGAAAGTGTTACCATGTTGTTTTTGAAGAGTTTTCATGAAACCTAAAGGATCCTTTTGTAATTTCAGGGCCTCTCCAAGGTAAGGAAGCCAGCCTTTTATCAGTGGAGGCTCACCAGGTCTCCTATAAGAAAAATAAACAAACAAGAAAAAATTAAGTCCTTATTTTAATACATATGGGTTATTAATCCAGCCTAAAAGTAAATGGATGAATTACACAACTTTTTTCAATTATTTTATTTAATGATTACTATATAATCATAGATATGAATTAATTGGGCCCCACCAGTATGTGACTTTGGGGTAGACAGTTCAATTCACAGCTTTTGGTGAGCAACATTTTTGAGAAATTGTATCTTGTAAGACCCAAATGGCTGGCTGAAATGACAGCTACACTCAGTAAACATTTTATGTATGAGAGCTCTTGCTGAGTGTTAGATGTCAGGTAGTTTACTTGCCAAAGTAAAGCTCTTTGTTATCAGATGTCACTTTAGACTGGAATTATATAATTAGAAGAGCAGTTAATAATCTTGAAAAATCTTTTATGCTGTTGAGAACAATAAAAAGCTCAACATTATTTCCATGAAGTATATTTTGCTGTATTCTTTTGTAGAGTTTTTTATTCAAATTACAAAGGACTAGGAATATTTGTCAAATTTTACAAGACAACATATGAAACACGTTCAGTGAAACACTGAAATACTGTGAATTAAAAAACAAGTTTCTTCTTTTTTGACCTATAATCTTAGCAAAACTGGACTTCAAAATTTCTTCTTCTTCATTTATTTGGTGAGCTCAATCTGATTTAAAGTAAAAAAAAAAAAAAAAAAAAACCCAAGGCCATTTTATCCTAGAAGGGATTAAAACAAATATTCAAGAGAACTCTGATAATTCTCTATCCCATCTGTGAAGATGACTTACACTAGAGGCAGTACAGCCCATTCTGATTAATCACAAGATATTACTAGCTCAAGACCAATCAAAGATCAGGATTATGATCATACTCAACATGGAATTTTATGTGGTTAGATTAACCCTATCAAAAGCTTTTATTTTCCCACAACCCAACATGGTAGAATTAAACTTAAAAAATAAACATCAGATCTTTCAGGGGGAAAAAAAAAAAACTAACACAAAATAAACCCAAGGTATGATAGAAATAAAGGAAACAGGTATCAAAACTCTCCTTTCTGTTTTTAGAAGACAATTGATTTTTATACTAATTTACAAATGTGTGCTATTATTTAAATATATGTACTTAGAAATAGGAAGACAAGAAACATGACATAAAAATGTGTATCTTCTTCTTCCTCCCCTTCTCTGTTATTTTCTTAAATGCTAGCTTTACCAATGGAGACTTGCTTTTTTGAGAAATACAAAAGTGTACCAAAAAGTGCAGTAATAGTTAATTCTATATCCAAAGATTAAACAAGAGATGACATATATGATTGTAGAGTAGGATCTCTAAGTCAGAAATTGCCATAGCATTCAGGCTCTCAATCAATGGCTTCCAAATTTTGCAAGTGATCTTAGTTCACAAAATTTCCTTTCAAAATATTAACTCTCTTCCTTGGTCTATTTTTATCCTGTTTTGTTTAATGGTGCTTGGATGTTGCATTGTGACAAAGATTTTGAAAGGCTTTTTGTCATATCATAATTTAATGCAACTAATTTCATCCTCTATGCTCTGTCATTTGGTCAAAAGCTGTATTCTTCATGGATTTCCGTGGGGGGAAAGGATGGAACTCAGAAATCCAGAGGAATATTAAGTTAATGTTTGGAGTTAGGGAAACACATTAGGAAGCGGTTTTATTGTTACAAAGATGAGAGGATCATCATTTCTTACAGCTGTGTTCATTTTGGCAGCAATGAGCTTAAAACTATGAAACACCATGTCACAACTGCATATTTTCAGGAAAAAATATAGTGCTATTTCAACTTATGACCTACCGAAGACGGGCAACAGAAATCTGTCTTCATCAGTATATTTGTAAAAATTATTTAGAGAGGAAAGACATCATCATAATGGTCCAGAAAGACTGCTGACATATGGCACAGTGCAAATACTGCTATTTGTCTCTCTCACGCTCTGTGACTTTGAAAATGAATTGTCCACTGCCCACTGCTGAGTGAGGGGATGGGATGCCTAATGCTTGTTGGGAATGATCAAGTCCCAAACTTAAAAGGAACAGGTTCTGAAGCAATGGTGGGTAACTAAAAAACAAAGAAAAACAAAAAACACCCTGAAAACAAAAAAACAAAAATTGTGGTCCACACCCCCTCTCAATCCCACTGGAACACTATACACTTCCTCAAATATCATCTTTACTACTTAAGACACTAGCAGGATACAACTTGTAAGTAATACAAATTAAAGCTTACAAAGTTTCTTAATAATTAAACCCAAGTTCTATGCATAAACAACTATCACCACTTGCAATTTCTTCCATACAAATAGTGGGACACATCTTGAAGTTTATGAAAAATGTCAAGTACGATCCAAATTTCTCTGGAAGCAAATAGTGGAGAAGAATCTAAATACATAAAATGGCTATAAAACATAAGAGATGTTTTAGTTTTCCTTTGGTTAAAAAGAAGCATATAAGATTTGAAGAGGTGAACCAACATAGAATACTTCATTTCTAGTAATAGTTGCAGTTTGTCTTTATGCTATACCTTTAGTTAAATAAATAGGGAAAAGGTTTGGCTAGTGACCTATCACACATCGTTCCCTGAGACATTTAAAGCCCAGCATTTTCCACAGCAATCTATACATGTCAAGTAATTTCTTCTATTCCACTTTTCCTGGGATCATTCTAGGCTAGGAGTCCGAGTTATTGTAACAACCTTCTAAGTAAGTGGTGAGCAATCTTTATACATGTACACCAATTCAGGAAAAAAAAAACCTATGCGTTGATTAAGTTTCTGAAGACATAAAATATTTGTATTAGGTCATCTAATATCTGTAACAGTGCCTTAATAATTTTTTTAATTTTTCCTAATTAATAAAGATTTTCTTTTGTGTAAAATGTGTGGTTAAAATGTCAGAAACTACACAACTGATGTGCAATGCAGTATCTGATTATAATAGTGACCTTTTGAACAAACTTTTGGTTGAGCAAAGAACTTTTAAAGCTGCCATTTTACCTTTCCTGGACTTACTTTAGAAGCTTCTTAATTGGAAAATATAATTTGGTTCATACTGTCTCTTAGAACTGTACTTTTGAAACGTTCTCTATTCTTCCACTCTTCCTTGGCTTCAATGCAGGCATGAGGAGGAGTCAGTCGGTAGAAGGCATAGCAGGGTCTTGGCATACTGGCAGCCTCTGTGAGAGCTTATGTGGGCCAAGGAAGCACAGAATCACATGCATTGCTTTGCCTGGAAGCTAGGAGAGATTATCAAGTGGGGACACTTGAGTAAAGGATGCAAAGATGGAGGATCACACTCAAAGTCCTGGCCAGGAGGCATACTGGGAAGCCAAAGATGATCACATGAACATCTGTACTACAGGACTTTCCAGATCAACAGAAAGGAAGGGGAAGAGTTCTCCTCCTAAATCTCATTTTATATATATATATAAAGGAGAACAAGTTTTAAACCCAAAGTGACTGGAACTACTTTTCACTAGAAATAGTGTTTTCTGTCATCAGTAGAAATCAGTTATAGAAAAATAAATTTGTGCACATCTAATACTGGGAAATTTTAAATCCAGCATACAAGTTATGTAGACACCCAGCTGTTGTTTTAACTTGAAAATGAGAATGAAAATATCAACCTTAGAGGTTTAGCATTCAGACTGAGAGAGAGAGTCTTTGAAAATAGCTAGTGTACAGAGCGGGATTAATTTTTCCAACCATTCATACATTGTAAGCAGTTGTACATAAGTGGTTTTGCTCTCCCATTCTCTGTATGAATGGTTTTATTTTTCAACCTTCCCTGTTATCTATATAAGGAGTTTGGAAGAATCACTCCCATCTTCACCACAAGAAAAAAGCTGAACAAACTGAATATCAACAACTCCTCTTAGATTCATTAGAGAACTGACGCTGCAGGGCAAACCATTGCCCTAAAAGCTATAGAGACAGGTGAATACAGAAAATCATAGTTTACTGGGAGCAGAAGCTGCTGCTATAGCCTTTAAGAGAGACACTGAAAAGGTAATTGACTAATTGCTGGAGACTGAGCAAGGACTAATTTGTAATATAAAATCTTCTAAGGGCCCAGACTTATTAGGGCCTTCACAGTGCTCACACAAGGGGAAATAGATAATCTGAATTAGTGTGCATTTACCAAATAAATTGAGTCAATAACTTATAATCTTCTAAAGCAGAAGGCACCAACTCTAGATCTCACTGGTGAATTTTATCAAACATTTAAGGAAGAAATATTACCAATTCACTCTAATCTCTTCCAGAAAATAGAAGCAGAGAAAACACTTCCTAACTCATTCTATGAGGCCAGCATTACCCTAATACTAAAACAGACAAAAACATCACAAAAAAGGAAAATTATAGATCAATAAACATAACATATATGTGAAAATCCTCAACAAAATAACAGTAAGTTGAACTCAAAAGTGTATAGAAAGAATTATACATTAGAAGCAAGGGAAATTTATTCCTGGTATGTAAGCCTGCTTCAACATTCAAAAATCAATTAATATAATTAATGTAATCCATTACCTCAAAGAAAAATCATCTGATCATGTCAATAGATACAGAAACATTTGACAAAATCTAACACCTATTCATGATAAAACTCTCAGCAAACTAGGATTAGAGGAAACTTCCTCAACTTGATAAAGAACATCTACAAAAAACCTTAATGCTAACATCATACTTAATAGTGAGAAACTAGATACTTTCCTGCTAAGATCTGAAACAAGGCAAAGATGCCCCTCTCACCACTCCTATTTGACATTATACAGGAAGTCCTAGTTAATGCAATAAGACAAGAAAGGGAAATAAAAGGTATACAGATTGAGAAGAACTAAAACTATTCTTGTTGCAGATGACATGATTGCCTATATATAAAATTTCAGAGCATCAACAAAAATACCCTTCTGTAACTAATAAGAAATTATAGCAAGGTAGCAGAATACAAGGTTAATACACAGAAGTAAA